TACGCAGCTGCCCTGGCATCATATGTCGGACTGACGCAGCGGGTGTGGCAGTAGAGGTAGTTGTGTCGTTTAGGGACGCAGGGTAACTTCAACTCCGAAAAGCCCTTCATACGTGGATTGCTTCTCAGGACAGACCTAATGGATTTAAGCGGATACGGAGACGACTTTTCCACAGGCCTACAGCCGAAACGCAGCGGAGGCGTGGTCGATTAAGGACGGTCATCTCCACAGCACACTAACAGCATTCATCAGACTTGGCCAACAACAGGAAAGATGAAACATCGGAATTTCAAACAGTCACTCACCACGCCTGAAAAGGAAAGAACAGAACTTCGCGAGCAAAAGTGTTCTGGAATGCAAACTACTGAAATTATGACTTTTCATAATTACACAGGATACCTCTACCCATACAAACCAAATGCCCTCCTCATGATTTTTCTATGGAGACGACCCCTGATACTCTCTGCTTGTGAGCCCTCTTTCTTTCTCTGCTGCTGTTGGGACACCCATCTTTGGCTTGCTCTGATCTAGACCAGCTGAGCTCCCCCTGGTGGCCAACGTGGTACGCTATTCTGCCTTGCAGATCTGGCTCCCCCTTCTGGATACTGCTGTTGCTGCTCTTCTCCCTGCTCTGTGCCCTCTGATTCTCTCCTGTGTCCTGCCTGGCTCGACATCTGGTCCTGGCCTCTGCTGTAGATCTTTTCTTCCATCCGTAGTCATCTAAGAACTAGGTCGTAACTGGATAAATTAAACTCAGTCCATTTCTCCTTCCCTCGGTACTTCGGTCTTCTGCTGATATTTTTTGGATCATGAAAAACACACTAAGCTCCCATTTCACAGCTGTTACGCAACACGTGACTCAGTCCATAAAGCGTTCAAACATTCAAATGTGCGTCATCGTAGCTGATTAAAAAAAATGCTTCTAGGCTTATGAATTGATGGTCAAAAATACTTATGTAGAAATCTTCCGAGAAAAAAAACAGGCTGCGTCTATAATCGTTGTTGTGGGTGTCTTTCAAACTATGAACTCAACGTTCAGTTATTTCTTCCTAAAAAAAGCAACAAGAGCGGCCTATTTTTAAAGGCTTCAAAAAGAAATAAAAACCGAAAAAAAACTTCCGATTGTCTGGTGTGTTTTTTTGTTGTTATGTTTTGCAGTAAAAAAAAAAGACGTAAGCTTTTAGAACTAGAAAATGTACTGTAGTCTTCTTGTAGATATGCTAACTTAGCCCTCACTATCATAACTTGATCGTTGTCGAGACCGCCATTTTGCGAGACCGCCATTTTGTTAAGGCGTTATAAAGTCGAGAATGAAAATAAAAACTATTTGAATTTAAAATAAAAACACGTTGAAACAAAATATATTTTAAACTAGCTTAATAGAATAACACGGTCATTTATAGCTGTGCTTTGCTTAAGCTCTTACTGGTAAAACATTAAGCTAGTAGTAAAATAATCAATATACTCAATTATATATATAACTGTAGTGTAAGTTATATATTTTAAGCTAAGTTACTTCAGAAAAACCTCGTTGAAACAAAAATATTTTTAAAACTAGCGTAATTGAATAAGATAACATGTTATTTTATAGATGCCCAGTGCCCTTTGTTCAGGCTCTTGGTCAGCTGGTTAAACATTTGCTAGTTGTAAAAGAATTACTATAAATTCTGTTATACTAAACAGTATATTAGATTTTATAGTCTATCGTCTCGTTAGGACCAATATAAGGTCGAATATTTCTTCAAAAAAGCACTTTAAATGATAGGTAATCTTTCAATGTAACTTCTGTACGCGGAAGGTAACTTATTAGAAGAAAGCCTTGACATAGTCAATTGTAACAACGTATAAACTTAAAAGCGCAAAAAGTTAACAAAGAACTGTTCCTCTAAATTATCGTCAAACAGAATAATACAAAGTCACATCACCAGATCGACGAACCCTCCCTGCCTTTCTGTGCGTCTCACCCCGTCGTGACGAGATTTGCTGTTGGTATGGTTTTTATAGACCTCAGTGACGCGGTCATTGTCAGCTCCTTCCGCCGTGTGATTAAAAAATAGTTCCTCTCACAAAGAGTTTTGTTTGATTTTAGATCAAGATATAATATGAATATGATTATTTATTGTTATTTTGTCATTTAAAAGACAGATATGTGTGTAATCAAAAACAAAATGTAATGATTTTATGATGCATTGTATATTAAATGCCTGTTTAAAAGCCAAATCATGTAGGACAGAAAGTCGAATTAGAGCGCAAACTTTCCCCAAAATTACAAGTAGATGATATGGGAATTTGGGAAATTATATAAAAGGAATTCCCCCACCAAATGATCTTTCCGTTTCTATATACCAACGGTCGGTCACGGCAGCTGCCTAGAAACGCAGCGTGATTCATCACAAATGCACTTAGCACTTTTCAAACAGCAACAGTTACGTCAGAAGCGCAGTGCGGAGGAATACAACATGGATCTAAACCCCCTCTTTCAAACCGGCTCAAACCGGTTTCGGTGCACGGATCTTCTTTTCTTTTTTGCTGCAGTGCCATAATGCGCATGCGTGTAACATTTCTTGGTTTAAAAATATGATAGATCCAGCTCGAAGAATTACCAGAATGTTCTGGTTTAACCCGGATTGAAAGTTATACGAAAACAATCCAGGTTTTTCGGAGGTCAAGAAATATTTTACAAGTTTAAAACAATGGACCATCGTGACAAATTAGAGCCAATGTCAAATGTTTTTGATTTGATATAACTCTTTTGCTGTACTTTTACACTGCAGTCGATTCCGATAAAAAATGTTAATAAACGTACATTTAAACGGAATTTGAAAAGTGAATGGATACGTTAAAGGGGAATGTGTTTCTTTCACATTGAAAGGGTGGGTGCGGGGCAAACGAGACCTCCAGCACGTCTCCTCTCTGGTATTTGTGCTGACTTTCACAAAGGGACAAGACTGAGAAGGGGGATGGGCAACACAAATACACTTAAAACACGAAATACCTGTGGATTGCCTGTTTGGTTCTAAACATGCAACATGCTATGTGTCAGTAGAAACCTGTTTAGTGATTTCAGTTTTCATTTAGTAAACATCACTTCATCTTTTAAATGGTTTTATATTACACTGCACTAAGTAAACACGTTGTTTGTGGGATTAAGTTTCAGGGACAGTGAAAATTAAATGACAGTATTTAATCTACAAAAAATAATTGCTACAATTTGTTTTACATTCCTAAAGATGTATTATTCTTAGCAGCTGACGTCACGTCACGTTGTTTGCGCGGCAGCATTTTGAATGATTTGTCATCATCAAACAATAACTTTCCAATACAAGCTAATAAAAACATTGTTTTATGTACCTCATCGGTTAGTTTTGCCGCCATAACATGATTGAATTAAAATAAAAACCAAACGTGACGAATGTGGCAAAGTGTGGACAGATCTAGATGTTTGCGGCATGGACTTCATTTGCAAGTTACCAGAAGGTGGCACCAATCTTACACTAATCACAGAACATGCATAAAGGAAAGTCCAGTTGAATAAACCCTACCCTAACAGTCATTCTAATTATGTATGGGTTAAATGAAAACATTCAGCCAATGAGTTAATCAGACTTGTTTACACATTTCCTCTTCATCAGCATTATCACTTAAAAGGCAGTTTCAGTGGAATGAATTGCCCATTTCAATAGTCTCTCAAAACATTTCAGTTCTAAAGACTTAATGTGTAATAGAGACAGATGGGATTTAAGAAATATATTTGTTGTAGTTTCACAGCAACTATTTTCCATATGATGAAATATAATCTTTAATAATTTATCTACAGAGCCAAATAGAAAGTATGAACAAATATGTGCATGTTACTGAATGCTAGTGAAGCTGATGGCTGAATTTGGAGATACAGACAACTCATAAAGGTTTATTAAAAAGAAACAGAAATACAGAAATGATACTGTATTGTAGTCTTTAAATATCAGATTACATGCATTTTGAACATTTAAAGCATGACAAATCAAAGGTGATTGACATTTCATGTTTTTTGGGGTAAACCCACATGTCCTGTTTTTTTTTATCAGCATCAATATTTTAGGTTAACATCTGACTGTAAATACTCATAATTTGGTAACACTTAAAAATAAGGTCTCATTTGTTAACATTACTTAATTTATTAACTAACATGAACTAACAATGAGCAATACATGTGTATTATTAATCTTTGGTAATGTTATACCAAATAATAATAAAAAAAACAGTTGGTCATTGTTTGTTCATGTTAGTTCACAGTACATTAAATGTTAAAAAGTACATTTGATTTCCATAATGAAAATTAAATGTTGAATTATCATTAAGATTAATAAATGATGTAGAAGTATTGTTAATAAATGCTGTAGAAGTATTGTTCATTCTTAGTTCATGTTAACTTTTAACTAGTGTTAACTATGAAACCTTATTGTAAAGTGTTACCCATAATTATTATTATTTATTTATTTTACATTTTCACAGTTTTTACTAGATGTTCTGCCTTCACTAGATTTATTTCTAAAGATCAGATTAAATTATCATGTCATAAAAAATAATGATAAAAGAATTAACAAAATGCTCATGTTAACTAGCAGTTATGCTTTTTAAACAAAATATAGCTGTTGTTTAAACTTCAGGAATGGGGTGTGATATGAATGTTGTATAAGAAGTACATAGACAAGTACAGAAGTACATATTTTTTCATTTATAAGAAAAAAATAACTATTTCTATGTCTGCGTTTAAATGTCTTCCAATAAATCTATTGTGATGTAACGGAGTACCCTTATGAATTTCACTTACACAATTTTGTGTATAACCCAAATAACATGTAATGCAATGTCCTTTCACCAAATTGATCGCCCAAACCAGATCGATTGTGTTCCAACTGTGTTCTCCCCATGAGGGCGGGTTTTTATTGAGGTCAATGTGGAGTCATTACATCAGAATCAGATGGATATTGGGTGATAGAATGCCTCGGCATGCAGCATTAGACTTGTTTCACTCCTGCTGCAAGCCTGGTGAAGAACCTTCTGCTTGTTAACGGATGCACATTTGAATGTATTTCTTTAGAAGATAATTCTTTCTTCAAACTTCTGGAACTTTACATTTTAAACAGACTCCAAAAAGCTACAAGGATAACATATTTTTTATTATTTTTCTCCAGAACGTACAAGGGAGGCATCAACAGAGTAACACTGCTAAATAGTGTAGGTATAAGGCATGGAAAGATACTTCACACCTGTGCGTGGCTCCTCAGAGGATGAGGTCAAAATGTACAAACATTCCCATCACTTACCTCATCAACATCCTCATCAGCATCCTCTCAACCATCATTACCAGCATGGATCACACAGGTATGTGCTTAAACTTTCTTTGGAGGACATGTGTCAGTGTTGTTACTGTTAACTAAAACTAATTAACCAACCAAATTTTAAAATTGTGTGAACTAAAAAAATAAATAAATATATATATATATATATATAATAGAGGAACAACTTATAATAAAAACGAAAATGATGCTGTCTTGGCAGCTAGCTAACTGAAATAAAATAAGTTAAAATATTACTTCAATTGTAATAAAATTAGTAAAATTGAACTGAAATAAACATAAAAGTGACAAATCCACAATAAAACTACTTCAATTAAAATGAAACCATAATTCAACAAATATTTAAATACTATAATACAACAAAATACTAAAATAATGTTCAAGTGAAATTCAATATACTCTTTTTATCATTAAAACTTTATTATAAAGTTAGTCCCTCGAGGTTAAAATATTTTTCAAACCTTCAAAATTGCAGCTTAAAATAAAACAAAAGTCACATAAACACAGCAGACTGTCCAAAATTTCAGTTTAAAAAGTTTTTGTGATTTTAACTTTAATTTTAGAGTTTTTGAGGTATGTTTCAAGACGAATGGGCAGCGGAGGCTAATGCCATCTTTCCATATTCATACTTTTTCTTTGGCCACGTGGCACATTTTTCAATGATCAGAAGGTGTAATTTAACTATTTTTGAATGTGAAGATATACTGGATATGAATGCAGCAAATCAATTGTGTGCATTTGTTTAAATCTTTTAAATAAAGATAACCTTTCATTTTCTTTCCTCCGGGTTTTCTACTTAGTGCAAATATTTTGAATTAAAACAAAATGTAATTTTATGGTTATACTTTATTTTGATGATTGACTTTAGACATTCTACTAACTTTGCAACTTCATGTCAACTAACTCTCATTATGTATTAGTTGACTGTTAGGTTAGGGTTCGGGTTAGTTTAAATAAGTTGACATGTTGCAAAGTTACTAATCAGTAGAATGTCTAAAGTGAACCATTGAAACAAAGTGTTACCAAATGTATATTGTGGCCTGTAACAGAATACTGGCAAAATGAAAATACTGGCACTATGTGATCTGTTTTGGTCATATGACAAGAACAGATCACATAGGGCCAGTATTTTCATTATTATTCATTTCATTTTCTTATTTAACCCCTCTTAAATCAGTCACAGCTCTTCAAGCAGTCATGGAAAACACAGTGATAGACATGCTCACCATCACCACAATAACCAGCATCACGCTTATCCTCCACACCCTAAAGTGTCTGGAGAACACCACAGATTCAATAAAAGGTCTTCCTCCAGCCTGTCCTCCTCCTCCTCCAATTCTTCATCTGTGTCTTGGACCTCAGAGCCCAGCTTGGATGATGAGACGCATCTCATGCACAAACCCCAGCATTCCCTGTCCTGCTCCAACATCCCTGAGGTTCAAAGGAAGAGCCACGGCAGAGAATCTGAAGACTTTTTTGATCACAGCGATCCCCGCCACAGCCCGGAGAACTCTGTCGAACTGCTCCCTGCTTCTCAGCATGATAATCGGATGGCAAAACTCTCCAGGGGCCATAGCAAAAGCGAGGAGGCCCTTCAGCAAAATAAAGATTGTTACTCAGCAGGATCTCACCTCATAGATCATGAGCCACTTTACAAAACTGCGAGCCTGGGACAAAGCCTTGCCTTTAGTGGCAATGTCAACAACACACTCAGAGGCAGGGCAGTTCCCAAGAAGGCGGTTTCAACAATTCAGCTGCCCAGCAAAGGTATTCTGAAAAACAAAGATGAGGGACAGAAAGGAGGCAACTTCAGGAAAGCCAAGTCTATGGAGGTGCTCTCCACCAGGGTGCAGGTCACAGAAACATCCAAGCAGATTACTATGGAAGCTGCGAGGGATAACTTTGTGAAAGGGAAGCTGCAGTTCTCGGCATTTCTTGATGAGATCACCAAGCAGGTAATCAGTCCCCGTGCACTCAGCTCTTTTGGCTTAAACACACCAACGCCCCTAAAATCTCCAAACGAAGAACGCATAAACCGCAGAGGCAAGCAGGAGAGCGTTGTGCCGTCACCAAAACAGCAGCCCATCAGAGCCGAGAGACCCGATTCAGGAAAAAACGGTATGGATTCAAGCTCACTCTCTCGATCACATAAGAGACCAAGCAAACAGCATCAGGACCACTACCACAACCGAAGCCTGACCAGTCCTATACCACCACCACCACCACCGCGCCATCCTTCTAAAGCTGAAAGACAAGGGGCTTCCTCGGGTAAACAGCACCAAAGGCAATATTCTCAGATGCTCACTGACGGTACCAGCACCAGCCCTGAAACTATCCGCAGCCACCTCTCTAAACACAGAGTGCGACATCAAAGTAGTCACGGCCCATCCAGGCACTTGGTTCCTAAGCAGGAGAAGGGATCACCGCCTCCTCTGCAAGCCCCAGGGCTGGAGTCAGAGTCTCAGTCGAGTAAATCATCCAGTGCTAGCTCCGAGAAAAGTGTCAGATCCAAACACATGGGACACAGGAGGCAGTCTAAACCTCACAGGGTGAGTTCAAAAAGCTGAACAAAAAAGTTTTTAAAATGTTTTTAGAAAGCTTCAAATAAAAGAAAACTAATAAACAAACTAATAAATAAATAGTCAGTTCCCCAATCATTTAATATGAGTTTTGGAATTATTGCAAGTCAGTTAACCAAATTTGAGATTTGTATGATTTTCTTTTATTTAGCAATAATCATTTGATAAACTTCAAATTCAAAACTTCAAATAAAACTTCAAACAATTTATACAATTTACACAATTACAAATCAATATAGAAATGAAAATCTACTTTTAACTAAATTAAGCTATTACTCAGTATGTGTTTCAGACCAAATGTTGTTTTGTATTTGTGGATAAATTTAATATTCAAAAGATTTTGAGTCAATAAGAGAGTGACAGTAAAAACAAAATTCTACTTCGAATAAATATTTTTTAACCTTCTATTTATCAAAGAATCCTAAAAAAAGAAGAAAAAAAAGAAGAGAAAAAACATTAAGCAGCACAACACATTTTCAACATAGTAATAAATGTTTCTTGAGCACCAAATCAGCATATTAGAATGATTTCTGAAGGATCATGTGACTCTGTCATCAAATGACATTTTAAAATATATCAAAATAGAAAAGTTATTTTAAATTGTAATAATATTTCACAATATTGCTGTTTTTCCATAAATAAAAAAAAAAAAATTAACCTTTTTTCTCACAAACACTTGTAACAGGATTCAATATTTGATCTTGAAGAACAGTCATAATATGCCATTATAACAAGCACAGCTTGTTTAAGGTTTTTAAAATCAAATCAAATTTGGCATGGCATTGGGTTAACCTCTAAAAAGCCTGAGGGATACCCTTCATTGTGTCCATATCTGTTGATTAACACAATTGAACCAGACGAGTCATCAATCAATGGTCTTCCCTGGAGCGTATCACTTCAAAATCAATATTCTATTTTGCGCTGTTCTATGATTACTGTTTCACCCCCTCACTTCTTTCTCTTGCCCCCAGGATTCTGTCAGTTCCATGGAAAGAGTTCAGTAAGTGGTTCCCCCTTTTTTTTCTGATTGGTTATTTCAGACTATTGATCTTATTCCAGAGCTTTCCCCCATTTTACTCTGCTCAGTTTCCTAAAACTCTGTCATCCAGCCTGAGCCATATCGATTGCTTCTATTTTCATCTCTCTGTTTATCTGTTCTGTACAGTCAGAGCAGAGTCATGATGCTTTTTTGTTGTTTTTTTGCGAGTGATTTATGATACTGAGTCTGTGCAGAAAAACAGCAGTTTACCTCCTGACAGATAAACAACACATCGATGTGTAATATATTGCAGGATGCTGGAGGAGTACAACAAAGAGCTGCACGAGAACCTGTTGCAGACAGTGGCATGCATTGAGAACATGGAGACAGAATTGCAATGTACCAAGTCAGAGTTAGTCAGCTGCAAAGAGAAATACCGAAGGTCAGCATTTAAGCTTTACATCCTACATGAAAAACAAACATTTTTGCTACAGTTCTTAAAAATGACACCACCCCACTCTCTCTTTGTCTAATGCCTCATTTGCAGGCTCCAGGAGAGCTATTCTGTTTATCAGCAGGCAAACAGCGTCTTGGAGCAGAAACTCAATTCTGCGGTAAGATTAACATGAGTTTTAGGAGGCACTTTCCACAAAATCAGTACAAAATAGGATCAGAAAGAAAAATGCATTTGTTTTAAATAAAAGAAGGAAAATGTTTATTGCCAACTATAGAATGTTAGCTAAATAATATATGAGCGGTTTTATTCTCATTTTATATAATTAAGTTTGTAGTTTTTTCAACCTTGTTAAAATGTATGACTAATTACAGTTTAGACCCTTTTTTTTGTAAACTTGTCAATGTCAATATTAAATATTTACAGTTAAAAATAAAACTTAACCTAAATTGTTAAAATGAACTAATAATTAAATTGTGTTTTAGTGCAATTGTGCAATTAATTGTAAATCAGTTCAATAGAACTTTTATGACATTTTACAATTTTACATGTTGGATACAGCTGAGAAGGTCAAGACTTCTAAGGTAGGACCAAATCATCATTTTTAGCGTAGATATGAGATTTGTGCTTAACATCAAAATTGACCACATCTGTGGAAAACACTAGACAGATTAAACTGGTTGCTGCAAAAGATACATACAGTGTGATCGTTCTACAAATAAGCTCTCTGTTGTGAATGTTTCTTTTTTTCTTGTATTAAGTGATATAAAATATCTATAAAATATCAAATATGATGTTTTCAGGCCTTTTTATGGCTTATCAATTAAAGCACCTGCTTTCCCTTACGTTTGTAAATTCACATCTGCTGAAATGTCTCTAGTGTTACATTTAAGCAGTATTTTTTTTTTGTACTGTATTTTGACAGGTAGACAGCTTGGACTCAGAGAGGAAGTTCCTCACGCAGAGAGTTGTGGATCTGACTAAACAGCTGGATACCGCTCAGAAAACCATCAACTCTCTGGAAAACATCAATGTAGGTGCAACACACAGACAGATACAACAAACAGATGCTCCACGTCTTCCATTTTTTGGGCAACTAGTCAATTACACACTAAACAGCTTATAAGCTCAAGCTAACTAAAAAATGACTCGTCACAAGCCACATGTTGAATGTTAAAGTCTGCATGAAATGGAAGATACAAGTCTTTTCTTCCTTATTGTGACGTATATCTGAGTGAAACAGCTTCTTGAACAAGAATGTATAGGGTATAAAAATGTATAAAAATGTATAAAAATGTATAGGGCTGCTGTGGTTTGCTAGAGTATAACAGTCGGGTTCTAGAAGTAAAAACTCCATTCATTATCTCTATATGGAAATTGATTTTTAGCGAAAATGTCTAAATCTTTAAAGACAGTCCAACTGTAAACTACGAGGTTGATAATCGACGGCAGTTGCTTTGGTCAAAGCCATCTGTTCGCATTATTTCAACTTCTGCAAAAAACAATCATGTTTTACATTGGAATTTGTGGGGAAAAACTACATCACCCATGATGCTGTACAGAAAATTCCACCAATCAGAGAGCTACGACAAGCAAAACATGCCAAAGATCTTTATATGCATTTTGCAATAAACTGAAAGTTTTGTTTTTTTGGGGTGGTAATCTTTAGGCACCTTTTAATCCGATCTGATTCCTATTCTGGGATTTTCAGAAAAGAGAATCGCGATGCATATAGCCTTCTCCCATCCCTAATATATACACTCTAAAAAATGCTGGGTTGTTTCAACCCAAATTTGGGTCAAATATGGACAAACCCAAATGTTGGGTTAAAAATGTAATTAAAAAATGTACAGTTGAAAGTGAAAGTTGAAGTTGGGTTAAAATGTTAAAATACATCTTTAACCCAACATTTGGGTTTGTCCATATTTGACCCAAATTTGGGTTAAAACAATCCATCATTATTTAGAGTGTATATATACCGATTTTGCTGTTCGTTTTACACAGTCTTGTTTTTGTCTTTTTGTCTGGTTTTCAAATAGTTTTTTTCTTTAAATAAATGTCTGTAATGTTGTGATTCACCTCGTAGCTGATTGGTTTGGTTCATAGCTTACAACGCTTTAACAAAAACGTTTTAAAAAATGTAAAAAAAATTATTCTGAAACCAACGTTGCTGAAAAAATGGGCGGCGGGCACTGATGCTGTGATGATGTGAGTGACAGGTTATTTCATGGTGACTTTATGGGTTAACATCTTTCTCTCCTCAGATTCACTCATTGATTAGTGAGTTGTTGAAAAATCACTTTGACTCTCAGAAAGGACTGGAACACTTCTTATGTCCTCGAAAATCTCCAGGCCAACCTGATAGTGACCAATCAGACAGTGTGCAAGAGCTCAGAAACGAGCAACCATCTGGAGAAAAAAGGGAAGTTTTTGAATGGCCACAGACTGGACAGACATGCTCAGGTGCCAGACAACAGCCTCCCACAGCCTTTTTGCCATGGAAACATGATCATGATCCATGGGCAGGGTCAGAGCAACTTGTGGTTAAAGGAAGTGACTCACAACTTCCTTTTCTTTTTGCTGATGATATGCCAATCCACAAAACGATGGCAGATACAAAGGCCCCAAGTCATCAAATGCATCAGTTAGCCGTGAACACAGAGATCCACATTGTTCCCCCAAACCCATATAACCTAGATGAGATGAGGCTCAGCAGACAGAGAGGTGGAGAAGCAGACCCTGATTTCACGGTGGGGAAAGACCCTGATTTCAGCTCTCTCACAGCTCAGAGGATGCTGAATGAGCTTTTGAACCAGATTCCTCCTCCAGCGCATGATGGTAAAGGGAAGGATAGTTTAGAAGCAGTGATGGGGGGCAGAGAACTAACAGAAGGAAAACAGTAACATTCAATCTGAAGTTTATATGGTAAATAATATAAGAACTGGATGAAAATCGCAATAACGTCCCCCATTACCATGTTGGTAATTATGAAATACACTTCACTTCTATCTTCACAAGTACAATTGTTGTATGCAAATAAGTAGGCCTGTATACCATGGTTTTGTGCTATATAAATTAAAATAATTTAGTTTTCAGGTTTCCTGCTTTGATTTGTGGTTAAATACATAATATGTGAAAGGCATTCTCTGTGTTTGTGTTTTTATACCTGCTTGCACTTTTTGCCCTTGTATATTCTGAAAAGCTCAAAACTGGTAATCAACAAATTAATATGGTTAGAACAATGCATTCCAATCATAGAATTTTAGTGATAACCAAATTTACTTTCAAAGAGCTGCTTATTCAAGGATTTTTGACTGCTTAATGTTTGCCTGTAAAAAATTCAAATTGAGAGTGAAAAGAGCTTCTGTGAAATATGTAAATTAACGGCTGAGACCATTAATGTTCATGTGTCCATTTATTGTATAGATTAACAATTAGCAAAGTTTTCGTGGTTGTGATTCTGAAATCTAAGTGTTAATAATCTCTGCAATTAGCCATATAGCCATATTATTTTATTATATAATATCCTGAAATTAATAAAGTCTTTGCTGTACATTTGAGAATTGTTTATATTTGTCTATATTATATTGTTTGAAAATTTGGTGTCTTTATATCCATAAAACAGTGTCATCAGTTATGCCAATTTCTTCAAGTGATTTTAAGTTAAAATCATATGATCAATACACCACAACAGAGTTAATACACCGCTTTGTTATATTTCAAATTATCCATTCTTGGTTTTATAATATAGAGTATTTATATTATGTGTATAGTCACAGTAGATTTAAATACTGTTTCCATGAGAAACCAACATTATAGACACAAATTATATTCACCTCTGAGCCATAACCATACGTTGTCTGCAAAGGCAGTAACCATCCCAAGATTGGCCTACAATAGAATATGAAATATATTAAATATGTCATATTATAAAATATTTGTAATTTTTGCTTCTATGTTTTTAATATCCGAGTCATTTTTGTCACTTTGGTGAGATTTTTGCCCTAAGCCCTCGTTTATTTCTGGCCCTGCCATATAGATGCTCACAGGGTTCAAATGTGTGTCACATTCTTTCATGCCTACATTCTTGTCAGTTTATTTCGGTTTCACAGTTTCTCAGTCCATTACATGGCACACCTTACATCAAACCCCTCCCTCTGGCACTCTTTCTGGACCTGTTGAACAAGGGCAGGTTTACTTAGAGGACACTGGCCTGGATTTTCATTGGTGGAGTTGGTCTAATAGGATCAGACATGATGACAGGAGATTATGACACTCAGGCCATAATACTCAATATCATATTTTTAAGCCCTAGTCAAAATGGCTGCCAAACTGTAGGAGGCATATTGAAGGCTCAGGGTCTGAAAAAAAGGGCACTCAAACATTCTTGAAGGTAATTCATATATTTTCTTTTACACAAATTAAAATCAGATAATCTGTCATTTAAATTTTTTTTTGTCAGATTAGTTATATCTGAAGTATTTTGGAGATGATTTCTGAGTAATCTAATGATACTGGATTGCACAGTCCTGTTGCAAATTTTTAGATTTAACAAAACCTGATAAAACGATGGGAATTTACCTGAATGACATGATGATTTGCTGAGCTGGATACTGATACTGCACGGCCTCTATTAAAATCCTCTTCTGCAATCTAAACTTCCCTTTCTCCCTATCCTAAGCCTCTTCCTAAGCAGCATGGTGTTGTTAAAACTAAAGTTCCCCTTCCAAAAGAGGGTGCGTCTGGCCCAGGGTCTCTGGCTGCTTTCATGGGTGGCTATGTTCTCTGGAGCCATCACCTTTGTTATGGGAGTCTTCCTCAAAACTGAGCTACATCGCAGATCAGAGGTAATGAAACATTTTCTTAATTAATAAACAGAAAGATAACCTACAAATAAAAGAATTAGATGTACTAATGTATCCCTAGATACATGCTTGTTTGCCAAGAACATAAATGAAAACATAACGTATTGCAGTGTGTAGTTTGCCTGCCATTACAGTCCATTAGGAACTATAAAGTGTGTGAAAGGATAGTGACAAATGCGATCAGTGCTTCAAAACATGCTTAACAGTTTTTCGAAATACTGTTTTTACACTAAGCAAATGCCATTTTTCTTTTAAACGAGGTTTGGTATTTTTGCAGATATTATTTACTGTATGTACAATACTACTATTACTACTTTCATTTACCCTTTATATAGTCAACACCAGTGTAACAGGCCTAAGCTTTGTCTTGTTGAGGAATAATCTCACATAATCTGAGGATTGGCCCTCACATAAGATCTATATAGTGTGCACCAATAATTCAGCTTGCGTCTATATGAAGTTAATAAACCTCACAATTAAAGCTGTAAGTGAAAAGCATTGTGGTGAAAACTATTATTATCCCACACCTGTTGAACAGTTAAACAGAACAGTTAGTTAAAACATCCAGGCTATGGAAATGCAGTTGCTTAATAGTGGGTTAACCTTTTTCTTATACTGGATTCATTTAGAGTTCAAGTTTTCAGTTGAAACATCAGCCTTGAATACAGAATGTAAAGGGAACATTGTTCTGGGCTTTCATGATCAAATGCTGCTAAAAACAGGATAGAGGAGAGATTGCAAAAATGTAATCCTTCTCACTCTATACAGGTGATGCACAATATGGACATCCACATTGTGCCAAATCTGCTGATGGCAGTGGGGTTAGCATCAGTGGGCATCAACATCTGTGCTAGCAAAGTCTGCCAGGACTCACTGGACCCCTCGCGTTTCCCACGCTGGAAGACGTTTCTTCCTCTGTTCTTCTTCTTCTCTGTCTTCTTCACCTCCTTGCTGCTGGTAGCCATGATTCTGAGCTTCGCCCTGCAGCCCAGCCTGGAGGAGTCTCTGAAGATTGGGCTAAAGAACGGCATCCGTTTCTATAAGGTTGGTGAGAGAAAGACGATTAACAAAGTCATTTAACAGCAATCAGTTGTCCTATAATTCATTCTCAGTGTATTAATGAATAAATATGGCATTTCAGAGTACTATAGATATATATAAAAAAAAAAAAAATCAAGAATTCTTAAGTCCAATAATTAAATAATTAAATAAATATGGCATTTCAGAATATTATACACAAAAAATAGAAAAAAGGTCCAAGCCCAAAATGGCAAAACACTAAGCTATTAATTGTCTTAACCACAAATTATTGGTCAGGAAATTAGCTAAATTTCTCAGAAAAATATCAAAGACAGATTGAAGTGTTTGGAAGAATATGGAAAGTTGTGTGTGGATTGATGAATCACAATGAAACACGAGTTGCATGATAATACTCCTGAGCGGTGTGTCTTCAAAAGCCTGCTGAGAAATATAATAATAAATGCATCTCTACCACTGTGAAGCATGGAGGAAGAGGTGTCATTGTGTTGGGAGTCTTTTTAGCTGCTATTGGTGTGCTTTACTCGTGTCATTTAATGCTTTGGAGTACAGAAGAATTTTGCAGAATGGCTTGCTTTCCACAATTGAAAGGTTGTTATCAAAAGAGGACTGATCAGATGTTATTTTTCTCCCAATTTGCAAAGACCACCAAGAATTGGCTTGAGAACAAGTCCATCAGGCTCATGTTTTGGCTATAGGCCAGAGTCCAGCTTAGATTTGAACCCTATAGTGAACATTTAGTCTCACATTAAACTCATGCAAACTGGGAGACATTTTTTAACTATGAATGAACTGTTTGAAGCCATAACATTGAGTGGAACCATGACTCTTCTTTACTAAGTTACTTTAGGTATTTGTGCAATTCTTGCTAATTTCCTGACCAGTGATTTGTGATGTGATGAAAATGGTTCAGACCATTAAAATACCACTAAATATTAAACAAACAAACACATACATATATATATACACTCACCGGCCACTTTATTAGGTACACCTGTCCAACTGCTCGTTAACACTTAATTTCTAAGCAGCCAATCACATGGCGGCAACTCAGTGCATTTAGGCATGTAGACATGGTCAAGACAATCTCCTGCAGTTCAAACCGAGCATCAGTATGGGGAAGAAAGGTGATTTGAGTGACTTTGAACGTGGCATGATTGTTGGTGCCAGAAGGGCTGGTCTGAGTATTTCAGAAACAGTTAATCTACTGGGATTTTCACGCACAACCATCTCTAGGGTTTACAGAGAATGGTCCGAAAAAGAAAAAACATCCAGTGAGCGGCAGTTCTGTGGGCGGAAATGCCTTGTTGATGCCAGAGGTCAGAGGAGAATGGCCAGACTGGTTCGAGCTGATAGAAGGGCAACAGTGACTGAAATAACCACTCGTTACAACCGAGGTATGCAGCAAAGCATTTGTGAAGCCACAACACGCACAACCTTGAGGCGGATGGGCTACAACAGCAGAAGACTCCACCGGGTACCACTCATCTCCACTACAAATAGGAAAAAGAGGCTACAATTTGCAAGAGCTCACCAAAATTGAACAGTTGAAGACTGGAAAAATGTTGCCTGGTCTGATGAGTCTCGATTTCTGTTGAGACATTCAGATGTTAGAGTCAGAATTTGGCGTAAACAGAATGAGAACATGGAACCATCATGCCTTGTTACCACTGTGCAGGCTGGTGGTGGTGGTGTAATGGTGTGGGGGATGTTTTCCTGGCACACTTTAGGCCCCTTAGTGCCAATTGGGCATCGTTTAAATGCCACGGCCTACCTGAGCATTGTTTCTGACCATGTCCATCCCTTTATGGCCACCATGTACCCATCCTCTGATGGCTACTTCCACCATGTCACAAAGCTCTAATCATTTCAAATTGGTTTCTTGAACATGACAATGAGTTCACTGTACTAAAATGGCCTCCACAGTCACCAGATCTCAACCCAATAGAGCATCTTTGGGATGTGGTGGAACGGGAGATTCGCATCATGGATGTGCAGCCGACAAATCTGCGGCAACTGTGTGATGCCATCATGTCAATATGGACCAAACTCCCTGAGGAATGCTTCCAGCACCTTGTTGAATCTATGCCACGAAGAATTGAGGCAGTTCTGAAGGCAAAAGGGGGTCCAACCTGTTACTAGCATGGGGTACCTAATAAAGTGGCCGGTGAGTGTATATATATATATATATATATATATATATATATATATATATATATATATATATTACTTGAAAGAAAGAAAGAAAGAAAGAAAGAAAGAAAGAAAGAAAGAAAGAAAGAAAGAAAGAAAGAAAGAAAGAAAGAAAGAAAGAAAGAAAGAATTCTCAGCCTCTGGCATTTTTTGATGACATTTGTATATAGAGTCTAGACAACACTTGATTCAAAGAAATGTTTCAAAAGACAACTTAATATTAAAATCAAAATAATTTAAAGAATTTGATATTGAATTGAATAGAGGGATTTCAATTACAAGTCATACATTTCTTTTAATGAAATGATGTTTTATAAACAAAGTTCGGGAGGAGCACGTTCAAATAATCATTCCAATCAACTGGTCATCAAACAATTACCATGTCTACCCTATCAGCACGAGAAGGAGCATATAAATATTCACTCTGTCAACTCACCTAACATTCCTTGACAGTTTCAGCATCCCTCCACCACCCCGACTCCTCACTCTTGGCTTATCTTATTTATTTATTTCACAGCCAGGAATACGGGGGGAGTGCTCTGGGTTCGGGCCGAATACCTAACTCGGAGCCCTCTCCTCGGACAGCACGACAAATACGCATTTATTCTATCTGACTTATTTGTAAGTGTGAACTCGTGAACTGATGTTAAATATCTCTATAGGACACAGACACACCAGGCCGTTGTTTCCAGAAGGAAACTATTGACCGTTTACAGATTGAGTTCCAGTGCTGTGGTAATACTAACTACAGGGACTGGTTTGAGGTGCAGTGGATCAGCAACCGCTACCTGGACTTCACATGCAAAGAAGTGAAAGAGTGAGTCCAAAAATCAAAGATACCCCCCCCCCCCCGCCCCCTTTAGCTTCCAAGGTTAATTTAGAATGTCATGTTCTGAAACAGGATGTCATCACCAGACAAAGAAAGACCAACCCCTAGTACTCGCAAATCAATTATGCATGTGTGCATGAGCCTGGCGCATTGATCAGAAAGTCAATAAAGGCAGTTGCAGAATCAATGATGTAACAAAACTAGGATATGTATAACTATAATTGCATTATATAGTCTTATGTTTCTGTCTGTTACATTTTGCCGACAGTCGAGTGAAGAGTAACATAGATGGGCGTTATCTGATGGATGGGGTCCCATTCAGCTGCTGTAACCCCTCCTCCCCCCGGCCCTGCATCCAGAAGAGTCTCCGGGACAATTCTGCCCATTACAACTACGAATATCAGACTGAAGAGCTCAACCTGTACAATCGAGGTTGCCGCCAAGCCCTTGTCAACTACTACATGGGTTTAATGAACACCATCGGCCCTTGTGTACTGCTTGTTTTCCTTCTCCAGGTATGGGCTGATTAATGGGTTTAATGAGTAATTACAGACCACTGATCCTCATTTTCCAAAAAGGAAAAGAGTTTGCGTTTCTGAGCCATGTTCTCTCAGGAATCTCCTGTGGGCATTTTTAATGGAAGTTTTTGATTTATGAGTAAAATAAGATCTGTGTTAGATGTTATATGAAAAGACTTTCATGTTTTGTTGTCCAACATAAATAATATTCATACCTCAAACGTGAATTCTGAACACCCTAATTAAAAAACTTAAGTTGCTATATAAGGACTACAATGGTCAGTAAAACACTGCCATACAGGTTAGAGGTCAGTAAAAAAAAATCTTTTCAGTGAATACTTGTATTCTGCAAAAATTTATTAAATTCAGAAAAAACATGAAAGGCTCTTTAAGTAATGCTAACGACAGAACTTATTTTACTCAAAGCACAAAACCAATATCCTTAAAAAAACATGTTAACTTCCTAAATTAGCCCAAATTGACATGATAACAGAACAGCTCTATTGGATGAGTGTGTAATTAGTGCACCGTTTAGTCACCTAACAGTCCCACAAAATAATGTTTTTAACTCATTCAGACCCTGCGTCCATTACAATGGACATCACATGTCAGCCTCCTTTTTTTTTTACTTCTGGAGCATTTCACCTAGTTTAAAGCCTGCAGTCCATGAGATTGGACGTTTGTCATCCAATCAAATGGCAGTAAAGCTCTGCATGTAGTAATTATAAAAAAATACACTTCATTGAAGAGAAGCATGGCAGCACTTCACTCCAAGCACAGAAGCAAGCAACATTTTCTATGGTTTTATTGACATTTTTTATATATTTTTGCCATTATTTCATAGTTTGTATGTAAAATAGAAAGATTGAACTTATTAATTAAAGTTAAAAATCGATTGTAGAATTGCACGTTTTAAATCAGGATTTTTTCAAATGTGTCTGTCCATTAGAATGGACAGTGGGTTCGAAAGCCTGTTACTGAAATCACATGTCCAGTAAAGCTGATTGAAATTTCTTATATAAAAAAATCTATATCACAGTACCGATACATTTTTGAAACTTTTTCATATGCAGAATATACAGTTCTTGAAGTGCTTGAACATATAGCTGATGGAAATATCTCAGATGTTGACTTTATGTGGAGTGATGAGGAAGATGGAGATGTAAGAAAAATATCCGTATTTAAAACTTTATAAAGTAAAATAACTAGCTTCCGGCCAAATGAACATACGGATTTGACTTCAATCTAAAGCGCAACTTGAATATGAATATTTTTCATATTTTATTTTATATTAATATTTTTTTATGGATATGCACTTTTATGATGGATAGATGCACTTTTATGATGGATAGATGCACTTTTATGATGGATAGATGCACTTTTATGGACTTTCAAAACAGAAACAACCATTCACTGCCATTATAAAGCTTGGAAGAGCCAGGGCATTTTTTTTTATATAACTCTGATTGTGTTCGTCTGAAAGAAGAATGTCATATACACCTAGGATGGCTAGAGGGTAAATCATGGGCTAATTTGAATTTTTGGCCAAAAATTATATTTGTCATCACTTACTCACCCTCATGTTGTTTCAAACCTGTATGAGTTTCTGTATTCTGCTGAACACAAAATAAGATATTTTAAAGAATGGCCAAAAATTATATTTGTCATCACTTACTCACCCTCATGTTGTTTCAAACCTGTATGAGTTTCTGTATTCTGCTGAACACAAAATAAGATATTTTAAAGAATGTCGGTAACAAGACAGTTGACAGTAGCCATTGACTTCCATAGTATTTTTTTTCCTACTATATATTTTCCTAATAACTATATTATATTATTATAATATAATATTATCATTCTTAGAAACTATTTTGAAAATTACAATAATATTTAGCAGTAATGTATCAATATAGATATTACAGTACAATACCGTATAATTAATTACAGCAGAAGCAGACCAAATTACGAAATACAGTAAAAATACAGTAAAGTACTATTTTGTAGTCTACAGTACTGATCTTGTGCACTGTAAAGTGAATTACACTACAGTTACTGGAAATCGAAATACAGTAACTTGCTGGCAACCGTGCTGCCAGTAATGTACTGTAAAAATACAAGAAAACCGTTAACAGAGAAATTGTTTCAAAGATGCACACTGGAAATGACTCTAACGTGAATGCATTCATTGATTCCTTGGTTTATTTTGTTATGAATAAACAAATGTGCGATCTATAAAGCAAAAACCTTACAATTAAAGTTGCAATAATGTTCAAGTTTTTGATCTAAAAAAAAGAAAGATGCATACAGAAAATGACTTTAATATGACCATATTGATTGATTCAAAGATATTTAGTTTGTTACAAACAATGTGCAATCTGTAAAACAAAAACCTCAAAATTAAAGTTGAAATGGTATACTGCTGAAAAGTTTTTGACCTTGAGAAAAAGCTTAAAGTATAGACCAACAAATTTTATGTTTATTAATTTATTTCATGTTGGTACATTTTTGGGAAGTACACCTGTTTTGACCTGACGTCCATTGGAATGGACAAAAAAAATTACAATGAAAGACAATATATATATATTTTTTTTTCATTTGGTCTCATTAATAGAAGCCTCATAAGCTGGGAAAATGTACTTTTATATTTTTCAGAAACTTGAAACATAATTCAGGTCTGAACAATGTTTACACACATGCATAATATAAGAGTTGCTGATCACACCAACATTAAAAAATGCATGCACCTAAAAAAGCATGTGATAATAGTTGCTTCAGATAACTGTTTTGTGTGGACCCCCCACCCCCAAGTAACCACATGATTTTAAGTGTCAAACATGAATAACACATTGTATAATCTAATGTGCGCAACACATCGAACCGTTCACACACTCACCACTCAGTTAATATTGACACTCTTCCGGAAAGGCTGGCAGTAGAGTTGTGAACTCAGAGGTGTCAATATTCATTATTTAATCATTAAAATAACTTGCACCCAAAACCACATCACTATCTTAGCTTTTATAACAGTCACAGCTTTTGTAACACTATTGACTCATCACGTCAATAATTCAATAATCAATCAACTTGATTTATTATAAATAAACTTGATTTCAGCTGCCAGCACCAATAAAACTAGATTTGCTTTGATAAAATAGATTGTTATAGTATGATATTTACTTTAATGTTGCATACTATTAGCAGTTACTTCAAAAATTCAAGTGTGGTTTGTTGTTTTTCCAGCCACATATTAGTATACAGTGGAATAAAATGTTGTTTAAAAGAGAGAGAGAGAAAAACTATTAACATTATGTTACCCACTCACCCATGTCCTTATAAACATGTATGACATTCTTGCTTCTGTAGATCACAAAAGAAGATATATATATATATATATATAAAAGTTTATTTGTCCATACAATGAAAGTCAAATGGGTCTGATGTTGTTTTGGACCCCGATGCTCTTCAAAATATAATCTTTTGTTGACAGGTTTGCAACAACAATGAGGGTGAGCAAATGACAGAATTTTCATTTATGGCTAAACTATGACTTGATGAAGTCTCTTTAAGAAAAGTAATTTGAAAAAAAAAAAACTAAAGAAATTGTCCTAATGTCATTTGAACTGTGACCTCTGTCTCCTTGGTCCTCAGATGTCCATTCTAGTGAGTCTGCGCTATCTGCAGACTGCAATGGAGGGTGTGCTGGGAGAGGAGAATGTGGAGATCGAGACAGAGGGATACATCCTGGAGAAGGGAGTGAAGGAGACATTGTTGGAGACTAAAGAAAAGATGATGAAATTCCTCCAGTTCGCTCAGGTGGGCGACGCATCCGCTGCGACCCAGGGCACCGAGCCAGAGGCAGAAAAGCCAGCCACAGCCTAAAAGACCCATGAGTGCTAACTGTCCTTGATTATCATCATCCAAGGGAAATAAAGTCATCGTAATTATAATGTAACGTTGCTACTTCATTGTTAAATGAAGTCATCAAGTTACCCAAATATTTGAGGTAAAAACCAGTAACCTCTCAAAATGCTGGAAATCTGATGGTACCAAAATACCCCTTTCTCCCATGACAATTATATATAAAGTGAAGATGTCTGAAGAAGAGTTAAAGAAGAAAATTCCAAGGAAATGAAGGCAATGAAATAGTACATTTCATCACATGAGGTCTGTAGATGTTTTGCTGCTTCATGCTTTGCTTAAATAGACAAAAGAGAGCTGAAATTGCAGAAGATGTATGCGTCAAATAAAGAGTTTTTAACTGATCTGTGAAGTCACATGGTCATTGTGTCTCATGAGCTTGTGCTAATTTTTGTTTTTCTGTTTTGTGTTGAAATGTGTTTTTCAGTTTGGACACTTCTTCCTTCACACTAGCCTTATCTTAACTTCTCTTGTGAAATGGTGTAGTGTTAAATCAATTTCCTCTTCTTCTGCCTATGCAGATAGAGAGCGAGAGAGAGAGAGAGAGAGAGAGAGAGAGAGATTGATATGAATAGGATTAAGCTGACTGAATGCGGCAGGCCATATTGTTAGGTGCCCTGTTCTGACACCTGAAATCTCTTTATCCCATGATGATGGTTAATACTATGACTGCTGCCAAAGCACTCACATACAAAAAAAAAAAAAAAATAACACTAGGCCAACACAAGAAATGCAACTGTGTCATGGATCTAGTTATTTATTAGAAGCAATTAATTTTGCACTAGTAATCACATTAGGTTCAAGTAATGCCGTTTCAGTGGATTGTCATTGCAGGAAAAAAGTCACATATATAAAACAAAAACACGTCTAAAGTCAAAGTGCCACTAAAGACATTTATAATGTCACAAAAGACCCGATGATCTGATAGCGCATTACACCCTTCCACCACTAGAAAGCAGCAAAAACTCAATTTTGCTCTTCTGTCACTCCCAATCTCGAAAAAAAATCTCACTCAAGTCACCTTGCAAAGCATGCATTGCTGTATTTGCATGTAGTTTGTTCTAATTATTTTAAGTGCGTTATATCGACTTACACTGACATGAATAGATTTTATTTCATGTGTTGCCCACACTCCTAGGTTGTGTCTCAAAGAAAGCATAATGAACAGCCTTTTTAGATAGCAGTTGGGGGCAACAAAGGGCGTACTGCATTTTTTGACATCAGAGACTCGTTCATGGAGAGTGGCTGCGAATAGATTCTCAAAGTGCATCACAAAAATGCAGTCTAGATAGGCAGCCTACTAGGTTTTGAGAAACATCCTTCAGTTGTGGTTTTGCTGTGTTCTATGTGGAAACGCGCGTCACGGGCGTCATGCTGACACGAGGACGCGCAGAGGGGAACAGACCCAATGCAATGCAACTCTAGATTCCGGTGTGGTTTGAAGTGTGACTAATGAGGGAAGGGACAGGCACAAAAAGCAAAGATGTTAACAGTTAAACAGATCTATCTTGACAGTCTATTGTCAAGAGAATTACGGTAACCATGAAGGTACTCTTCAAAGTCTGTTATTTAAATAATCCATTGTGTTTTATGGAATAAAACTGATCAGGTACGGTACAAAAGAAGATGGACGTAAACATTACGGAAATGTTAGAAGAATTTATGGGAAGTGCACTTGTTACATGGGTAGGTGGTACGCAAAAACAATTAAAGTTCTTTGATAGTCTTCATTTTGTTCGGTAAAATGTTTTGTAAACTTTTCAAACCAGTTCAGAAATTATAAATTATATAAACTATAAATGATGTTCAGAAATCAGTTAATGTTTTTTTTTTTTTTTTGGTAAATCTAATCATTAACAAATAAACAATGATCAACACTGTTTCCAGCTGAAAATTTAATATTACACAGTTAACCGTGTTTTGCAATATTAGGCTATAGTTGGTTTCTGGTCCAAGTTGAGATAGACCATCTTGGACTAGCAACAAACTGGCTACTAGCTGGCCACAACTAGCCTATATCTGTCTATTTTTTGCAGCTAATGACCAGCTTGGATCAGCTAAACACAAGCTAACATGTTAAAAAACACAGCTTTCAACAGCGAGAGACATCTTAAAATATCTTTATAATTTAGAAGTCATAATGAAACGTTGAATTTACATAAGATTCTGACAGGCACAGGAAAAACCAAGCATTCACAACAGAGAACAAAGATCATTTATACTCAGATCCTACTCAGTTTTTATTCACACCTTGAAGTCCTTGATATGAACAGGGCATTGTTTTCATTGTCTGTAAGGTGCATCTATTTGAGGGTATTGTCGATGAGGAGGAGACTGGATCACTCTATCAGGAATACATGGAAGTAAACTTCAACTCCCAGAATGCAGTGAGGCAGTACCTGAAGCTTACCAATGGAGTCTACCTCAATGAGGTCATGAGGATCATGTAAGAAAGACTCAAAAGTGTAAAAATTTAAATAATTTAATCTATTCTGTTTTTAATAATGTAGTTTGATAAAAAAAAGCGGATTAACAGTTCATTGATGATGGCCTAGTTTCAACAGTGACTCAGCTAATGGCAACGTTTTTGTTGTTTGTTTGGTTTCTTTAATCAGTGATCCTAATCCAAAGGTAGAGCAAATCTACCACAATGTGGGTGATGACAAGATTCTCAGAGTGCAGAACTTTTCCATCCTCAATCGACACCTGAGATCATACTATCAGGTACTGAATTAAGGCATCAATCAATTTACTATGTGAAAACATGAGAAAAGTCTTTACAAGGACATTCCACAAATACATTATATTGCTTGATTAACTGCAAAATCAACTAGAATCAAAATGCTGCCAGCACCTGATGGTAAAGTTCAGGTAAATAGCATACGAATGGCTCACTAAACAGCATGCACTGCGCCTGTTGCTGTGGAACAAGTTAGCCATGTTTTTTTTTTGGTTTCTGTGGTTTCACTTCTTGTTTCAAATGTCCTAGCTGTGGACATGTTTTTTGCACTCTTTTTTTTTTTTACTGTAAATTATGATTTAGCTTATAATGCATTGACCTGCATTATCTGGATTTTTGACACTACTCTTTTAAAAGTTTAATTGAAGTGTGCTTTCCAACTCCACAGTAGTTGGTTTATCTATGAGAAAACTAGCATATTTAATTAGACAACAAGTATATATCTTTAAACGCCGTTTTCTCAAAAAGAGTTTTTCCTCCTACATTGAGCCAGAAAAACTCTTTTTCAGAAAACGGCGTTTAAAGACACTGTATTGAAATCTACAGATGCAAATAGATAAAGTGCTCTAAAAGATACAGTTAAAGGTGTATTTTGGATGTTTTCTGTCCACTAGTCTGAAAAAACACTTTATGAAAAGCCAAAAAGCCCAAAATCTGAAAATTGACAGATGCATGAAAAAACACTGTTTTTGCCTGTAGGGCCCCTAAATACCCACATGTGTATTTTTAATTGCACTTTATTTTACAGTCCTGTTCCCTAATGAACATACTGTGTACTTATTATAGTAATTACAATAACTGGGTAATAACTAGGTACTAAACCTGAACTACACTGCAAGTACATGTTCTGTAAAATAAAGTGAAACCGTATTTTAAACTTATGTGCGTGATATAAGAACATTTACAGAGGATGTAGCATTTTACGGTTTTAGCTAAATTATCCTACATACACTTACAAAAAAAGTACCATGGTAATTGCATGGTTTTGAATTTTGTTACAGTGTTCTTTAAAGTACCTTGTTATAATTTGTAAATACCACTGTATATGAATTTAGTAATCATTCAGTGCCATCCTATAAATCACTGTACCATGGTATTGCCACAGTACTTTTTGTAAGGGTGAGTAATTTTTAAAGGCATTAGAAAATTACCTACTGTAATAACAGGATCATTACTCATACTAAATGAGATGTCAGTTGCCGCAGATTAAATAAGCCTATTTTACACAATCTTGTTTGTTTCCTTTTGGCCATGACTGCATATGAATAACTTTCTTCTGTGCGCCAATGTGTGTCATACTTAAACCTCTTACTTGTGCATTGTCTGGGATGACAGTAAAGCACCAAGAGGTTTTAATGGTTGTCGTTTCTCTTTCAGGAGAATCTACAGCAGCTGGTGCTGATGCCGCTACCAAATGTTGCTGTTTTAGGTAGAGATCCCCTGACAGGTGTGGTTTTGTTTATTACATAAACATAAATGAGCCAAAAAGTACACATTTTTAAGTAAATATCCTTAGTTGGTGTCATGTCGGATTCCCTGTCAATAGAGGGCGCTGTTGCAGAGCTCAGAAGACTGCTACTGTTATTGCTGGGTTGTGCAGTACAGGTAACGAAGCACTGTAAACACATTTAATATCTTTAATGGAGAGTTTCAGCACTGTTAAATTGATTAGAGTATAATGTTGGAAAAACATATTGATGTTTACAGTGTGTAATTAATTGCTCTGTTCCTATGACTCATTTTCACCCAGTGTGAAAGGAAAGAAACGTTTATTCAGCAAATTCAGTGCTTGGACATTGATACACAAGCAGAGATTGCACTTTGCATACAAGAGGTCAGTGAATTTTGAACATATGATAACCTGAGCATAATCTCAAACTAAAGCGTGTAGTGTCACTAACCCTGTGATCCATCATGTTCCAGGTGACCCAGGACCCGAGCGCAGTGCTTCCTTTGGAGTTTGGAGACATGTGTGGGCTGAATGGAGCCGAGCTGCAGACTCTCTTCTGCTCCATGGCCAAACAGATCCAGAACCTGCTAAGCCAACGAGACACACACTTAGAGGTGAGAGAAGAACTTATGTTGGCATTTTCTTATGCTAGTAGGTGAGGCTAGATTTGAAGTAGTGTTCAGAAAGGGTGTTCTTTAGCTTTGGATGTCTCTGTTATCTCTTGATATTTAGAGGATAGCAGAACTTATTCAGGAACGGGAATCATCTACAGCC